CACAATTGATCGCCATATACCGGGGCGAGTAATTACCTTATCACAACGGAACAAATATAAGCTACACAAAAGTCCGAGTCAATATGTTTGGGTGGTAGGAGGTTCACCCCTCAGCCGCCCTCGATTCCCGAGCAAATTCAAAGACGGAGCTAAATACGGGCGTATATCAGCATGGGGTTTGAGAGTTGTGCAAGAGAGCAACCGCAATGATCTTCCCATCGGTAGTCTCGTGTACGGCTACCTGCACATTGGAACTCTGCCAGTCGACTGGCCCTGTCACCGTCTACGGTTGTAGACGGCAAATTTCGTGAAACCAGCCCTCACAGGGCAAAGCAATTCCCAATATACAACGAATATCTCACTTTCTCACCAGCCCAGGCATCAGTCTTGTCGGATAAGCGTCTTGCCTGGGATGCCTTGCTAAAGCTACCTCTTTCACTAGCGCATAGGCTCAACTACTACGTTTTCGCATGGAATGAAGTCGGATTAGCACCACCATCGACGTTGGTGCTCGGTCCGACTCCTCCTCCGCCATGGACGATGGAAGAGGCAAACATCACAGATGCGGTGGTAATCATCCTGGCTGCGTCTGGAAAGATCGCAGTGGTGTTCGCTCACCAGTTGAAGTTTACGCAACCAGCAGGATCTCAGCCGCGGAAGATTATCGCCGTCACGAGCCAGACGTCCCGGGCATTTGTGGAGGCTACAGGGTTCCACGATCTAGTGTGTCCGTACGACGATATTGAAACTGAAGCAGCTCCGGATGTCCTCGCCAGTACTCTCGACACAAGCACTAAAGTGGTTGTGTGCAATTTCGGAGCTTAGGGTTCCTCCTTCAGGTCTTTGGTTATGGCGTTGAAACCATTGGCCAGAACGATTCTTCCCATTGGGATCGGGTCAGAGCCGACGCTGGCTACCCCAGAACGAATGCGCCAGAATATGGCTGAAAAACATTGCTCTTGGGATGGTTCAAGTCAACGCATCTGACATTTTTGAGGAGGCAGTGAAGAAAGTGGGAAGGAAGGAACTTGAAAAGAAATTCGCGAAAATCCTGGGTGAATTTTTGGATGTTGGAGGGATTCCTGGACTGTCTATGAAGATGCAGCAAGGAATGGGGGCTGTGGCGGAAGGGTGGGATGCCCTGTGTTCTGGAGACCCTGGGCCAGAAACCGGCTTGATGTTCAAAATAGACTGATATTTTTGTCGCGTCTTCCACTTTCAATGTTCAATGACGAATAAATAGGGCCGCTCGCTTCCTTTCAAGTTCCATAGCCCCTTGTAGATAGAGAGCTCTGCGGTACGGAGTACATCTGTTTCAATTAGCCAGACCGTTGGCGTTAGAACATGTGACCGGCCAAACCCTATCCATGGATGTTGCCCCTGGAGAATCCACGACGAGACTTCGATGCAAAACCTGGCTTTTCGCGGGTGGAGCTCAGTATATACAACAACTAGTGTGCTCTGGTTCTGAGGAAATTGGGATGTTCGACAACTATATACGGAGCAGTGCAACAAAGCCTTTGCACATAGAAGAAACTCATATTAGAAAACTGTATGCTATGCAAACGTGTTGTATAAGTTGATAGAGCCTCGAAAAGCTTTAGAGTTCGTTGACAGGGTTTGATTCGGTGAAGTTTGGCTATCGAGTTAGCTGTCAAGCCCCCGCCATTGCTGACGCGATGGTTGGAATCATTTGAGGCCTGGCATGGGGATTTCGATTGACACAGTGTGCAAATGAATTTTGTCCCAATTATGGAGTAGGGTTAGCTTGAGCTTTGATTCTATCAGTAGTTAAGCGAAAGTAAATCTGTGGCTCAACCTGTGGGATGGTTAATCTTCTCATTGTGCGATCGCTAGCTAACTTATCCATACCTAGGTATAGGGGTAATCACGTGCGGTGGAGGGCCATCTGGGCAACTAGTGCCCAACACAACCCTGGTGCTCAATCCTGGAATCGCACGCTGTGGCTGAACCATTGCCAGCGCTGCTAGTTCAGGCAAGGCCCACAAATAACTATGTCAAGCTGGCCACATACTATGTAGTGACAACAACTCCATCTTCGCACTGTGTGTTTAAATCCCTCCCCACCCGATTTACTCCTGTATACCTACCCGCTCAGTGCATCTCCATCGTTCGCCCTCACCATGTCTCTCCTGGAAGCCCGCGTCAAGACCGTTCTGTCTGGTGACACCCTCATCTTGACACATGTCATCAACCGCAGCCAGGAACGAACGCTGATCTTGGCCTATGTGTCCGCTCCGCGGTTACGAAGAGAGGGTGATGAGGTAAAATTTGATATTTCCCCTGGTTGTCCCTTGCATGGGTTCCTTGTTCAGCCGCTCGTCATGCCCCTCTGCGGTGTTTGATGGTTCTCTACTAACGAGTACTATTATTTTGCCCTCACGGTACAGCCATTTGCCTTCCAATCTAGAGAATTCCTACGCGAATTGCTTGTGGGCAAGGTCGTTAAGTTCCAGGTGCTCTACACCGTCCCCACCACGAAACGGGAATACGGCATCGTGAAACTTCATAATAACCAGGAATTGCCAGAGCTCTGCGTTGCGGAAGGATGGGTCAAAATGCGTGAGGATGCGGGCAAGCGGGAAGAGTCCGAGGATATTGTGGCGACGGTGGACAAACTGCGGGAACTTGAAAACCGTGCGCGGTCGGAATCAAAGGGCGTGTGGGCGTCGACTGGCGGGGAACTCGAAACTGCTTATGAAGTGCCAGATCCAAAGGCACTGATTGAGAGCGAAAAAGGGAACCAAATTGCTGCAGTTGTGGAAAGGGTACTTAGTGGTGACCGCCTGATCGTCCGGTTACTTGTTGCCCCGCATAAACATATCCAAACCTTGGTCGTGGTTGCTGGTATCCGGGCCCCGGCAACGAAACGAACGAACACAGACGGCACAGAACAACCGGGAGAACAGCTTGGAGAACAGGCTCAGCAATTTGTGGAACTCCGGCTACTCCAGAGAAAAGTCAAGATCTCGCTGCTTGGTGTGACGCCACAAAATCAACTCGTTGCCAGCGTCCTCCATCCTAATGGCAACATTGCTAAGTTCCTTCTCGAAGCTGGCCTGGCCCGATGCGCAGACCACCATTCTACTATGATCGGAAAGGACATGACTACTCTACGACAGGCCGAGAACGCCGCGAAAGAAGCGCGAAAAGGATTATTTATGAGCCACAACGCGCCCAAAGCTGGCGCTGGCGCTTCGCTAGCGGATTATGTTGTGACTCGAGTGTTTAGTGCAGACACCATTTTTGTTCGAACGAAGACCGGAAAGGATGAGAAGCGGATAAGTCTCAGCAGCGTCAGACATCCAAGAACATCCGACCCTAAGCAGGCACCTTTCATCTTAGAGGCTAAGGAATTTATGCGCAAGAAGCTCATTGGTAAACACGTCAAAGTAAAAATTGATGGAAAAAGACCCGCATCGGAAGGCTACGAGGAACGGGAGGTTGGTACGGTCATGTCTGGAAACACAAACATTGCATTGGCCCTCGTGCAGGCTGGTTACGCATCCGTCATCCGCCATCGCCGGGATGATGACGACCGGTCTCCTGAATACGATGATCTACTCCGCGCGGAAGAAGCAGCTCAGAAGGAGGGGAAAGGAATGTGGTCTACTAAGCCCCCAACCGTTAGAACGCCCCAGGACTACTCCGAGAATGTGCAAAAGGCGAAGATTCAGGCCTCCGTGCTCCAGCGGCAGAGGAAGGTGCCTGGTGTTGTTGATTTCGTAAAATCTGGCTCTCGCTTCACCATCCTACTTCCTAAAGATAATGCTAAGCTCACACTGGTCCTTTCCGGCATCCGGGCTCCCAGATCGGCGAGGAACCCAGGAGAGACTGGGGAGCCATTCGGGCAAGAAGCCCATGACTTCGCCTACCGAAGATGTATGCAACGCGACGTTGAAATCGACGTTGAGACGATTGACAAGGTCGGTGGATTCATCGGCAGTCTCTATATCAACAGAGAAAGTTTTTCCAAGATTCTTGTTGAAGAAGGCCTTGCGACTGTCCATGCCTATTCTGCTGAGCAAGGAGGTCACGCTGCAGAGCTGTTCGCAGCGGAGAAAAAAGCCAAAGAGGCACGAAAAGGCTTGTGGCATGATTGGGATCCAAGCAAGGATCTTGAGGAGGGCGAGACCGTTACCACGAACGGAAAGAATGGCGCAGAAGCCGGCGCAGACGCTCCCCAGCAGCGCAAAAAAGACTACCGCGATGTGATGGTCACGAATGTAGACGAAAATGGAAAGCTAAAGATCCAGCAAATCGGCGCCGGCACAACAGCCCTCACCGAGATGATGAGCGCGTTCCGAGCCTTCCACCTCAACAAGGCAAACGACACTGCTCTGAGCGGCCCACCCAAGGCCGGAGATCTAGTCGCGGCCAGGTTCACGGAGGACAACGAGTGGTACCGCGCAAAAATACGGAGAAACGACCGTGAAGCTAAAAAAGCCGACGTCGTTTACATCGACTACGGCAACTCCGAAACCGTTCCGTGGACCCGCCTCCGACCCCTCACGCAGCCGCAGTTTTCCGTGCAGAAAATTCGACCCCAAGCCACCGATACAGTTCTCTCCTTCTTGCAACTCCCCGCGTCTCCCGAATACCTCCGTGATGCTGTGGGATACCTTGGTGAACGGACATTGGATCGCCAATTAGTTGCGAACGTCGACTACACGGCGCCCGATGGGACATTGCATGTTACTCTGATGGACCCGTCCGAATCTAAGAGTCTGGAGCACAGCATTAATGCCGACGTGATCAGTGAGGGACTCGCGATGGTCCCGCGCAAGCTCAAGGAATGGGAACGGTCATCGACAGAGACGCTGGCGCATCTTGAGAAACTGCAAAACGAGGCAAAAGAGGGGCGCAAGGGCATGTGGGAATATGGAGATCTGACGGAGGACTAAAAATAGAGTAAAAAATGCTTTCTCTTTTAGATGATTGATCAATTTGGGGTGCTTAGGCTCCGAGGTATGTCGCGTGGCGTTGAAGCCCAATCAGATTTTAGTGACCGAGCTCCATCATGCAGAGGGAAAAAAAAAAAAAGAAAAGAAAAGAAAAGAAAAGAACAAGGAAAAGAAAAAGGAACAAAAGCTCTTAACTTTTGGAAAATGACCCGGTGGATAAAAATATACAGTCATAAACTTTCAATGGCGACAGGCATTTATTTGTATTGGCTTCGCTGTTGCATGTAGATTTTGACACCTAGTCAGTTTGCTTGAAACAACAGTCCTTCCAAAAGCAAATAACTACGGGCATCTTGACTCATCCAGCTATCCATCTCTTGCCTGTGAGGCCCCTGTGAGGCCTGTGAGGCTTCTGGGGCTTGTAAGGCTTGTAGGGCTTGTAGGGCTTGCCACAGGCGATGCTCGGGCACGGAGCTAGGATGTGCCGCCCGGAGCCGCAGCCGTATTATGTCCGTGACAACCGAGGCCTTGGGCTGAGTATTACCAATCCTTCCGCACTACGGCTAGTTGAGGACATCTCGAGGCTGAGACCCGCTGGAGCCGCCAACAAGGCCACCAGGGCTTGTTCTTTGCATCCTCGCCCTCATCCATATCGTTGCCCATCTTATTGTTTCCTTCGCTGACTGGCGAGATAGATTCCTCGCAGATACCCTTGCACAGAACTGCCGTGTTTGCTGTGTCTCTTGTCTGGAGAACGGCCGCCTTATACAAGAAACCCCTGATGCGATATACCCCAATAGAGGAATCATACACAAGAACATAGAAATCCAAGGAGGCAGAAACGGGGGACGAAGATAAAAAGAAAAGAAAAAAGATAATAGAAACTCCAGAATACCCCAACAACGAAAATAAATAAACATGACCCTCTCACGAACTGCCACCAGCCGATCCAACCACAGCCGGCACTCGATAAAAAGCTCTCATTCCCATCCCAAGTCACACTCACAGCTACAATCGCAGGAACTTCCCCCAGTCACCAAGACTGAGTCGTTCGAAGCGGCTGCTGCAAAGGCCAGCAAGGGAGAGGACAGTGGAGGTCCAGATCCGCTGCTGGGTTTCCTAAACCACCTATCACCGCAGCAGTCAGAAGCGCTGACAAGCTTCAAATTGGTCTTGAAGGAGGAACAACTATATACCGAAGCGCATGGTGGAGCTCGTGCCAGCCATGATGATTCTACTATGCTGTACGCACTGCCCACCTCATATTATCTATCCACAATGTTGGTGTTCTTTCTGTATGCCAAGGGGAGAAGGTGGTTATGGGGCATCTTTGTTGTATTATCCGGGGTTGTTTTCTCTTTGAAACCCCTACCAGGAGCAGTGAGGGAAAGGGGGGGGTTCTGACGCGAAAGATCCAATTGGCTGTCTACGATCTAACCGTTTTTCTCTTTTTTTGCTTTTGCCATGTCTGCAAATATAGGCGATTTCTTCGCGCGCGTAGATTCGACGTGCAGGGTGCCCTAGATCAGTTCCGGAACACAGAAGAATGGCGCAAGACGAATCAGATCGACGCGTTGTACCGGAATTTCGATATTGATTCATATGAAGATGCTCGCAGAGTGGTCAGCAACTGTTTTTTTTTTTTTTTTTTTTTTTTTTTGTTTCGTTTTTTTGTTTCATTTATCGGGTTTTCCCAAAACTCCGATCCCCCCTTCAATGTCGCCCTGTTAATTGAACTCCCCTGACTTTCAGGGTGACTGACGTCTGCCTTCTTTGTCTTTTTATCCAGTATCCTCAATGGACCGGCCGGCGAGATCGTCGTGGGATCCCCATATACGTTTACGTGATAAAGGACCTAAACAGCAAGAACATGGCAGCCTACTCGTCCAACGCCTCAGCGGGCAAAACATCCGCAACCCACACCTCCTCCAAAGTACCCCCACGATTACTCCGTCTCTTTGCCCTGTACGAGAACATGACCCAGTTTGTGCTACCGTTGTGCAGCGATCTGGGGCGTCCCCACCCTGAGACTCCAGTTGTGAACACGACGAATATCGTGGACATTTCAGGGGTGGGACTGAAGCAGTTTTGGAATTTGAAGGGTCATATGCAGGATGCGAGTGCCTTGGCGACAGCGCATTATCCGGAGACTTTGGACAGGATATTTGTATGTGGAAATTTGTTATTTTGTCGATCGGAGCTGTTGCTTTCGTTCATGCCTTTCTTCCTGTCCTTGTCTTTCTTTCTTTTTTGTCACATGCTGTTCCGCTCGACGTTGACTCCGTGCCTTGTAAGTTGGCGGTTTCGCCTATCTCAAAACGGACATACGGACATACGGATATACAAAAGCAGCCAGCACTTTCCTCCGAAAGGAAGGGGGAAAAAAAATTTTTTTTTCAGCGATACAATTGAAAGCGTAGAATCGAACTAACATAACAAAAACCGCAGATAATCGGAGCCCCCGTCTTCTTTCCTACCGTCTGGGGCTGGATCAAGCGCTGGTTCGACCCTGTGACAACGTCAAAGATCTTCATCCTATCCGCATCCGAAGTGAAATCCACCCTCAGCACCTTCATAGAACCCTGCAACATCCCAAAGCAGTTCGGAGGGGAGCTGGACTGGAATTGGGGCGACATGCCGTCACTCGATGAGCCGGCGAAAGAACTTGCAGGCATCTTGACACGCGTTGGAGAACGAGGTGTAAACGATGTCTCCGCCACAGGCCTCACCACGCCCGCCATCGGGGATACAAGGAGGGATTTCGTCAAGGGACCTGTCGTGTGGAATAGCGAAACTGCGGAGATTATGGGGAGTGTGGATGGGGCAGATCGGAGGAGGGCTATCACTCTTCCGATGAAGGAACATAACCTAGGTGATGACGGATTTAGAGCTAGAACTACAGGTGTTGAAGCGCTTGCTGAGAAAGGGGGAGTGGTGAATGGTGATGGGGGCGGAGCAAACACAGATTCGGCCACCGCGGCGGGCCTTGCTTCTGTGGAAGTGGACAATGAAAAGGTTCCTGTACCGGCGCCTGCACCGTCTAATAAAGTTTCGCCAACACTACGACTGCGTGAAAATCTCTAATGGTTATTTGTCAGCATCTTTTAGGCTGGATCGCGGGCGGTTTCTTTTTGCAGCGTGGTTACATCTTCTTTTTGGATCTTGCCTTTACCTGCCATCCCAGCCTTCTCTTCTTTTTTTTTTTTTTTTTCATTCTTAGATTCATTGGCCTTTTATGTTTGAGCTGTTTGCGTGTTGCAATTTCACCATTGCATGCTTTAATACATACCCTCACTCTGTTCATATCTTGTGAGATAGAATATATATATATATATATATATATATATAGGCTAACAAACTATTTTCTTTCTTTCTTCCATTCTTCCTTTGTTTTTTATCTGTTTCTTTTTGTTTTCTTTCAGTATTCACTCTGTTTTCTTCTTTATCCGGACAACAATTCCCACATCGTCTAATGTATGTTTCATTGGGGACTTTCTCTGACAACAGCCCCTTTCTTTGTGTAGAGTCGCTAAACGAGGCTGGGAGAAAGCGAATGACGTGATACCGACCACGATAGACAAATGCAGCGGCCCATTGATTCGTAGCACCACATCCCCATTTTTAAATTAGCATTTGGGACACTGGAGCTACAAATTGCCCAGATCCGTACCTCCGTCGCAGCATCCTGAGCGGTTTTGTCCCCTGGCGTGTGCTGCCCTTTATGTAATCCGCCGAGGCTCCTCCTGCGCCATCTCCACTCCCAGTCCTCCCAGTTCCTCCCAGTCCTCCCAGTCCTCCCAGTCCTCCTAGTCCCAGTCCCAGGCCTGGCGCTTCCACGGTTATCCCGGTCGCTGGCCCCAATCCCACGGTAACCGCCAAAGGGCTTCCAAGGCGGCGGCTGCAAAATCTTGGTTCACGGCACGCTAACCCCTTTCAGGCCCAGGCTCCGAATCAGGCAAGCGGCTGGCCCATGTTTCCTGTCCGCCCCGTGCTCAACGAACTAGCCGATATTTTCCCCTTTTCGCGTCTCCAGCTATTTTCTTCTTCTTCTTCTTCGTCGTCGTCTTCGTCTTTCTTGCACTTCCTGCCGTCACTACTGCGCCAATTCGAACCATTGGCCATTGTCCACCCTCTACCACCTTTCCCGCAGCTATGGCTGATGCTCCCTTGCCCAGAAAGCGCGGTCGCCCGCCAAAGCTCGACGCGACTGGGAACCCCGTCAAGAAGCCCGCTCAGAGCGATGGACCCCCGAGGAAACGAGGCAGACCACGCAAGAATCCCAGCGACACTCCTAAACAAGTCCCTGCCGGCCCAAAGAGAGGGCGCGGCAGGCCAAGGAAAGATGATCCGACGGCGCCTAGCAAAAAACCGCGACTGAGCACCGATGCAGCCGCGATTACGACCACCACTACCTCCTCCTCCTCCTCCTCCTCCAAACCGGCACCAACACCGTCCAAACGCGGCAGACCCAAGAAATCGGCTACGGAAGCGGCTGCCAAAGCTGTCAATGGTGCAGGGGCCGCCGGGTTTCTACTAGATAAGATAATTGGCATCTACTCGTTGGATTGTAAGGAGGTGGAGGACAATTGGCCGGACGACGCGGAGGAGATGGAGCTTACGATTACAAGGACGTCAGAGAGTCCCTTGGGGTTGATTGGCGGGTTCAATTTGGGTGTGATTCAGGGCACGATGCTGTTCGCGACAGACAAGCGTACGCTGGACAAATTCCGCGCCGTGATGAGCAAGCGTGGTCGTGTTGCTGGCGGAGCGCGCGGCGGCAATGGGGAAGGGGAGACCGGCAGCAGCCATGACGGAGACGATATCCCGCGTGCAGCGGGGCCCGCGCGCGTGAAAGATCTCCGCGTTTACTTCAGCTGGCGTGGGAGGTCGACAGGCGAGGGCGAAATCCACACGGAGGAGGGAACGTCGCCGCAGGATGGCTACCTCGTTTTCACGAGCAATGAAGCCATCACTTTCAATGGTGTGGCGGGCTTCCCTGCTCTTGGCGAAAAGTGCAAATTCAAGGGAACAAAGATTGACGATGACGCTGCTGATGCGCCGGAGCCGTGGACTTCGTTCTCTAGGAAGGCTGCTGAGGAAGCGGCTGTGAGTAGATGGGGGTGATACGCAATCGAAATAAAACGGATCCGTTGTTATATGTCTTTTTCTTTTCTTTTTTTTTGAGGTGGAGTCTTTGGCCTTTATTTTTATTCTTTTCCCTTCATTTTTGTTTTTGATACGGGTTTCTCTTTGATCCAGTTTAGTTTCAGCTCAGGAATGTATTTCCCTGAATCCCACGGCGTAGCGAAACAAAGTGCAACAACGAATTCTATCGATTCACGCAATCAAAGGGCTGAATTGGAGACTGGGGGTGA